CGCTTGGCTCCCTGGGCTCCTCTCCGGCTCCTCAGCCACCAAGTCCTTCTCCACTCGCCGGCCCCCAGCCCGTGGCCGTGTTCGGGATGGCCTTGACCTTGCACTTGGCCTGGTTGAACCTCGTGAGGTTCACCTGGGCCCACCTCTCCCGGTCCCCCTGGATGGGTCCCTTCCCTCTCGGGGATCAACCACCCCACTCGGCTTGGGGTCCTCTCCAAACTCGCTGAGGGGGCCCTCGATCTCTGTGGTTGGTGGAGATATGGAACCGTACTGGTCCCACTATGGCCCCCTGAGGGACACCAGTCCTCACTGGTCTCCATCCGGGCATGGAAACATCAACCACAACCCTCTGGATGCCACCAACCACCCAACTCCTGCTCCACCAAACGCTCCATCCAGCAGGTCCATCTCTCTCCATCTTCAAGAGAAGGATGTTGTGGGAGACCACGTCAAAGGTCTTCCGAACGGCCAGAGAGATGACGTCCCCCATGTTGGGGGGCGTAAAATTAATTAGGGGGGGGGTGTTGTGCCGGGAAAGGCTCATGGTTTCTCACCGTGGTGCAGGTGCCGGCACTGGGAGCGGGACCGAGGAGGATTCGGCACCGCGGGACGGCAAGGAGACGGCGCGGGAGGAGGCCGATCAGCGCCAAAGCGGGGGACAGGCGGGTGAACCCCCCGTCGCTGGTAAAGGGAATGGGGGTAAGAAGGGCGGCGCGGCATCGCCGGCATCCTGGGGTGGTTGTGCCGAATGCGGGATGCGGAACCGGTCGCAGAGTCCGGTAAAGCCGCGGCGGTGCTCGGAGTGCGGGCGGCGGTGTCGGCAATCGGCCCGGCAACCAGACCGCGGTGGGGAGAAGCCGCACCGGTGCGGTGATTGTGGCAAAGGCTTCAGCCGAGGGTCTAACCTTGCCCAGCACCGGCGTATCCACACCGGTGAACGACCTCACCGTTGCGGTGATTGCGGCAAAGGCTTCATCCAACGCTCCGACCTGGAGCGGCACCGGCGGGTGCACACCGGTGAACGGCCGTATCCTTGCGGCGACTGCGGCAAACGGTTCAGCGTCAGCTCCCACCTCGACCGGCATCGCCGTACTCATGCCGGTGGCCCTGGTCCACCCGCCCAACCGCGTGCCCGGCCTCGACCGCCTCTGCCGGAGGGGTCACCGGCTCCTCACCGTTGCCCCGAATGTGGTAAGAGCTTCGCCCAACGCTCTGCCTTGGCCAAACACCGTAAGACCCACAGCGGCGAACGGCCTCACCGCTGCGGCGATTGCGGTAAGAGCTTCAGCCGAGGCTCCAACCTCACCCAACACCGGCGCATCCATACCGGCGAACGGCCGTTTGCTTGCAGTGATTGCGGTAAAGGTTTCATCCAACGCTCCGACCTGGAACGGCATCAACGGGTACACACCGGTGAACGACCCTATACCTGTGCCGAATGCGGTAAGAGCTTCAGCGTCAGCTCCCACCTCGACCGGCACCAGAAGATCCACGCAGCTGAACGGGCGTCCTACCGGTGCCCCGAACATCTCGCCGGCTTCTTGGCCGCTCACCGTCACGGTCGCCTCTTCCAATGCGCCCAATGCGGACGATGTTTCGGTCAAGGCGCCGCCTTGCTCAAGCATCAACGTGCCCACGGTGCCGGGGGAACCGTGGGGCAGCCCCCCAAGTGCCCGGATTGCGGGAAGAACCGGGGTGGCACGGTGGGGTTACGTTCCCGTGGTCAGCAATGTATGGATTGCGGGAGGGAATCGGATACCGGCGACGGTGAGATGGCGCCGGCGGCACCGCCGGAGAAACCCTATAAGTGCGGGGAATGCGGGAAGGGTTTTGGGCAACGTTCGGCGCTGGTTAAACACCGGCGTATCCATACCGGAGAGAAACCCTACACCTGCGGGGATTGCGGGAAGGGTTTCATCCAGAAGTCGGACCTCACCATCCACCGCCGGATGCACACCGGGGAGAAACCTTACCGTTGCGGTGAGTGCGGTAAATGCTTCAGCGTCTCCTCCAACCTCATCACCCATCAACGTACCCACCTCGGCGAGAAACCCTACCAATGCCCCGAGTGCGGCAAGAGCTTCATCCAACGCTCCGAGCTCACCATCCACCAGCGCGTCCACACCGGCGAGAAGCCCTACAAGTGTCCCGAGTGCGGCAAGTGCTTCAGCCGCAGCCCCCCCCTCCAACGCCCCCCAC